CATTGGCAGCAGGAGGGCTGGCTGCTGGGAGCATGCCTGGACTAGGAGCCCAGCCCAGTTGGCAGCAGGAAGGCCAGCAGCTGGGAGCCCTAGGAGGCAGGCAGCTGGCAATCTGGCTGGGGCAAGCAAACTCCCTTGTTCAAGATTAGTCCAGTCCCTAGGGTGTCAGACCAGGGAGGTCAAGCCTGTACCTAATGATGTCTGTTACTAGTGTGGGTAACAATTACAACATCCATAACAGACAGTCTTCTGTAAATCTCAAATTGTCTGCTAAGTAAAAAGCTCACCAATCAGTTTGTTTAGAAACTAATTAAAGTTTTTAATAATGGCCTGGACAAATGTAGAAAATGGCTGCTCTAGGATGCACTTAATACAAGCATTGAGAACCAGTATTGCTGTTAAGCATAGAAAACACTTCTCAAAATTTTATATGTGCCCTTTTGACAAAATGGCTACGTCTACACTGGCCCCTCTTCCGGAAGGGGCATGTAAATTTCACGAGTCGTCGTAGGGAAATCCGCGGGGGATTTAAATATCCCCCGCGGCATTTAAATAAAAATGTCCGCCGCTTTTTTCCGGCTTTTAAAAAAGCCGGAAAAGAGCGTCTAGACTGGCCCCGATCCTCCGGAAAAAGTGCCCTTTTCCGGAGGGTCTTATTCCTACTTCCTATTTCCTGCAGTTGCCCGTGTTGTATTCCTACTTCAAAGGAATAAGACCCTCCGGAAAAGGGCACTTTTTCCGGAGGATCGGGGCCAGTCTAGACGCTCTTTTCCGGCTTTTTTAAAAGCCGGAAAAAAGCGGCGGACATTTTTATTTAAATGCCGCGGGGGATATTTAAATCCCCCGCGGATTTCCCTACGACGACTCGTGAAATTTACATGCCCCTTCCGGAAGAGGGGCCAGTGTAGACGTAGCCAATGAGTCTGATTACTCTGTTTCTAAACCTGTAACTTCAACTAGCCATCAACTTATTTGGATAAACAGAAGAACAATTAGTAGTGTTCTACTCATAGTGTATAATTATTCATTAATTCACATAGCATTCTTACAGCTCTACTGTATTTTTTATCATGCCTAGTAGAATAATATATGCTTTGTGCTGGGCTTTTTTGAATTATACCACTGTTTCTAAAACTGTGTTCTGAGGTACACCAGTGTGCCGTGAGGCAATTGGAGGTATGCTGCGGAGAACAACAGAGTTCAAAATGGCTGCCCTGAAAGGGGCAGGCAACCCCCTCCCCCTTTTTTTTGTCTCAACAAAAAATGCTTGGTGTTCCTCATAAAAAAAATTATTGTTTGGTGTTCCTCAGTCTTAAAAAGTTTAAGGAACACTGAATTATACAGATCCTGCCCTGAGGACCTTCTTGTACAATTCTATCTTTTTAACCTCTTGTTTGCTTATATTCACAGCTTTCACTGTACTCCTGTCCAATTCGTGAGTCTAAATATGTGGAGGAACCACAAACCCAGTTGGAGGAAGGGATTTCATATCTGCGTCATTCTGTGGCACCATACACAGCCTGGTGTCAGGTATAGCAATTTTATCTTATGGAAGTACAGATATGTTTCCATAGTTTAGGATGATTGAGGATTTTGCTTATGACAGGACATTAAAACATGACTGGATCCAAATTTTTGAATTGCTTTTAAAAAAACAAAAAAAGGAAAGACAGACATCTCTCAGGGGCCTGAATATGAAATGATATTTTAGTCTTTAGAAAGTTTTGCCAGAAAAAGAAATTATTATTTTTTTTCCTGCAGTTGCCCGTGTTGTATTTCACCAAATCTTATACCCCTTTTTGCCCCCTCCCAAAATCCAACAAAAAAATAAAAACCAAACCCAACAACTTTAGAATCCCCCACACCTTCAAAATTTAACCTTGATCTCCCTTGTTTGAGTGGCAAAGGCTTTTATTCCCCCAATCTTTTAGCTTTTCACATTTTTTAACATGTTTTCTGCCCTCTAAGGCCATTCTACAGTATAACTGTTTCCCGTGCTTGCTGCCCACCCCACTCCCAATAGAAATTCTGGAGTATAACTATCCATGCTATCACAGACCTCCCTTTCTATTTGAAGAGAAGCAACCACATTCCATACACATCGTATTGTCCTGGCACAACAAAACCTTGACCTTGCTTTATGTTATGATAAGCAGAAATTTTATACTAAATTTAGCTCTATCATTTAGGAGGAGTTCTTGAACAGACAGACACACACACTCTCTCATAGAGCAGATTATTTTAAGTTGTCAGTGTGATACTGGCAGATTAGATGCAAGCCCTTGCCAAAGCTTTAGACATCAGCCAAGCACTGACACAATCATTTCTGGAAACCATTCTGTTTCACCTGTGTTTTAGTATGGTTAAGATGGCATTTATAGCAAGTTATTTAAATGTTATGAAATGCTTGTAAATTGTTGCATGCATTGAATCTCACTTACAATGTCTGTATCGCATACTATAAGCTAATATTTAAGTTTTTGTTTTGTAACTGTAAAAAAAGGTTTGTTCTGAAATTGTTCCCCTGAGACCATTGTTCCTCCTAAACATCAAGAAGGTTATCAAAACTAAGTGGGTAATTTTGAGACATTATGGTATAAAGACTTTAAATGCCTTTATGCCCATGAAGAGGCTGGGTGGAAAAGAACTTGTCCCATCATCTTGAATTCTGGAAGAAGGAAATGAAAGTAGCTGCCAAGAAAATTTTCCCCTCTCTTTCTCTTATTTCACTGTTTGAACTCTCACAGAGCTATAGTTACAAAACCAAAGCAGAAATCCCCAGTGTCCATTTGGTTAGCTCTAAAAGACATTCCGAGCTGATTGCTTCAAGACTGTCATCTTTTAAAACCATGGACTGTAACACATTTGTGTTTAGAAGCTTGCCTGCTTTAATGTTCTAATAATTCTCTCATTTCTTAGTTAATAAGAAGTTTACTACAGTAAACTTCCGATAATCCGGCACCTTTAGGACCCAGGGGGTGCCGGATTATCAGATATGCTGGACTATCAGAAGGGGGGACTATGAGGGGTCTGGAGTAGGGTGGGAGGGGATGCCACCCCAGACCCCTCATAGCCCCCCCTTACTATGGTCCGGCTCTGCCCCAGGCGTCCCTGATTCAGCTGCTGCTGGTCAGTTTCAGCAGCAGCTGAATCGGGGATGCCTGCAATAGACCAGCTGGGGTGCGGCCGGGTTGGTCCCGCAGCGCTGAGGGGCGGCGCTACGAGACCAACCCGGCAGCACCCCAGCTGCTCTGCTCCCGGCTTCCCCGATTCAGCTGCTGGTCAGTTTCAGCAGCAGCTGAATGGGGGAAGCCTGTCCGGCTGCCCCAGCACTTCCGGGTTCCTGATGGTGCCGGACCATCAGGAGTCCCGGAGCATTGGATGCCGGACTAATGGAGTTTTACTGTAGATAGTTTACTATAGAATTGGCTACAGGCATTGCCTTTTGTATGAGATCCTGGGTACAAATTGCCCAGGGTAAGTAACTGGTACTTTGGTAGCGGGAGAACATTGTTGTGATTTTTGGGTGTAAAGTGACTCCCTATCACTAAATCCATTTTGCCAGGATGGCAAGACAGACTGGTATGCACCAGGGGAGAGTCTGAGACTTCATAGCAAGACGGGCAACACTTTCTCCCATCTTCAGTATTCAAAGAAAGTCCTCATTCTCTCTGATTAGGTGGTCACTTATGTCGCTGAAACGCGCTCCCAGATGCAGACTGGGTGTCTGATACCCTTCTTGACAATGGAACTCTGCAGTCTGGCTTGTAGACCCCAGAATCTGTCCCCTACCCCTCTGGAGCTCCCTGTTGTTTAAACATGTTCACCTGCTGTCGTTGTGCTTCTGTGGGTTGCAACTGAGAATACTAGATTCAGGACAGACTGCTAAGAAATAGAGCAAGCACACCCCAAAACTGGCAGTTATTCTTCTTTAAGAGAGATGAAACCAAAGTTTACTTTTATTACTGGTCTCACCACAATGATTAACAAGAAGTCTGAAATGCAGCCTTGTTGGGTATCCCAGTCCTTGCATCACCACTCAGATACTATATTTAATGATGAGTGGTTATTGAAAAACCAGTTTCATCTAACAAAGAGGCCTTCTGATCTCAAAGGATCAGCCATACACCCAGGTCAATGTAAAACTCAAGATCTTACCTAATAATAATCATGCTGTTGCCAATCCTTTAGTATCTAGCATCTAAAGGTTTATTTATAAGAGAAAATAAATAAGTGAGAGTTAAAGTTGTTGCACTTTCTCAGACCTGCTGAGGAACAAACCCAGACAAAAGGTGGGCTGGAGCAGTATTGCTTTTGGGGTTGTTTATTGGTACAGATTCTTAAGGGTAAGGTGATCTCACACATACACACACCACATTCATCCTGGCAGTTTGGAGGAACTGCAAGTGCAGTGTAGATTACTTTTGATTTTGCTGGTGTTTGGAGTGCTCACCAGTTGTCAGATTCCTGGAGACTCGACCATGAGGTTCCTTGGGAGATCCCTTTGGAGCTGCAGGAGGCTTTACTTTCTCCAGACTGGTCCCGGGTTTCTGCTGTGCTGTTACATCTTGTCCGAGAGTGATATTTTCTGGCCGCTTGTCAGTTAATTTATCTGCTTGCAGGGTCTTTGCCTTAAAAGGTTACAGATCTTAAATTGCCTTTCCATTAGGTGTTTCTCATTCACACTTCACACTCATTCCCAAGGCTACATGCATATTCATAAACATACATTAAGCAATATGGTGTCTAGGCAGAGTCTGGCCTTTATGGCCTTGATGTAACAACAAACCTAACCATAAATTGCATTGCTTGACATACCAAAGAATAATAAAGAACTAGGGCTACATATGCACTGCACAGTTATTTCAGAATAAGCTATTCTGGAATAGTTATTCAGACCAATTCTACAAGCCAAATACACAGAGAAGGACTGGAACTTAACTTCATTAACAAGTTTAATTCTTATGCTAATAGTCTGAACCGGGATATAGGGTTTCTCACACACTATCTTCCACCTTTTAATGACTTAACCAACCAAACAGTGGAGATGCTAATGGTTCTTAACAGCCTCTTGTAACTATTTGAACTATCTACTCACTGTCTCTCTTTTTCTTCCTCCCTTCTCCTTTTTCCTCCTCCAACGCCCCTCCTTCCCTTATTTATTCTTGGATCTGGACTTATTATACTCAGGTCATCTGAAGAAGTGGGTTTTGCCCACGAAAGCTTATGATACCATCTACATGTTTTGTTAGTCTTTAAGGCTACTAGACTGTTTTTTGTTTTTTAAGTTTTCCCTGTTACTTACTAACTCGGCTACCCCTCTGAAGCTTTTAATTCCTGTGTTCTATTTGGTTGCCTGCAACAACCAGTGTAAACATCTTGCTAGAGTCCTCTCTGAAGTTCCATTCCTAACAAAAGCGGCGAGGAGTCCTTTGGCACCTTATAGACTAACTGAAGTGTAGGAGCATAAGCTTTCGTGGGCAAAGACCCACTTTGTCAAATGCATCTGACGAAGTGGGTCTTTGCCCACGAAAGCTTATGCTCCTACACTTCAGTTAGTCTATAAGGTGCCAAAGGACTCCTCGCCGCTTTTGTTAGGAATGGAACTTCAGAGAGGACTGACCTGTCTGGAAGTTCAGTTGGATTGACTGTGTTTAGTGTTCTGTTCTGCAAGGCTCTATGGTCTGTTAAGCTCCTATCTTGCCTTATTTTTATTTATGACTCACTGGTGATGTATGTATTCCACAATTTTTCAGGACCGATAACTTTCCTGTATGCAATATATCTTCAGCCTGTGGTGTTTTTTTTTTTTTTTTAATAACACACACAGTGGAAGGTTTTAGGGCCTTTGTTCAGAGTTTGATATTAGAACTTTTCTCCTATTGTGTTACAGAAAATAGCATTTTGGAGTGGCTCCAAAATTTATTTTAATCCAGAAAAACAAATGAAAACCAGTTTTAAGTAGACCTATATGCCATGCACACCTTTGATAACTATAAGCTGTTAGAAAAATGCTTTAAAAGATTACTTTAACTATTCAGAGCTGTAAAACAGAAAGCATCATACATTGCACGACAAGTTCAGGCTTTTATTAACATAATAAACATTAATTTAATTAATAAAATTAATAAAAATGTAGGCCTTGCTATTTTATAGTAGCTGATAGTATCCAACTCTCCGGAGCTGATTTATTTATGCTTAGCTCTTCCCCATGTGATTTCTTTTTCCATCGTAGAGTTTTTGTTGTGACTGCTGCAAATAAGGAAATCAGAGTTCTAAAGATATTCTTCCCTTATCCAATATGCTAATTGAGTGCTTTCATTTCTCTGTACCTGAAATTTAGGGTATAAAATTGTTTAAATTGCATTGCAAGATTGTTCTCCACATTTTAACTCTAGGAAAGTGTGGTTACTTATTTGTTTGCTTACTGCACAAAACTACTCCCAGAGGAGTATCTCCATATATATTAACAATTTGTATGATTGCTTCTCAGTTGCTGAAAGATAAAAGCAGTGTGAATTCTTGCTTCATGAGCTCAGGTCAGTACAGGTGGAGTCTGGAAGTTATTCCTGCAGTTGGGACAATCATTGGTAGCTCCAGCACTGAGCCTCTGGACTAATTCACTTTTTTGTGAATTAAATTGACCGGTGTGCATGTTTAACCCTCAAAACCTCTAAAATTATTGAGATACCAATTTGTCATGGTCTGGAGAAAGAGAAAATAACTGCATCCAAAGTCTGCAAAGCCTCTCTATGGATCACAAAGAATGACTTATTGTATAGCTATGTTGTCTTCCTTTTCCTTGGTAACTCTTCTATAAAAAAAAAAAAAAAAAAAGACTAACCTAGCATTGTTTGGGTCCTACAGGGCAAAGGGCTGACAGTGTGGAGGGTGCAGGAGTCGGGACAGGGCCTTGGGGAATGGTGGGAGGGTGAGAGAGTGAGGCTTGGGGAATGAAGAGGGGCTCAGGGCAGAGGGTTCCATCTGGCAGGGTTTTGTCTCCATACTCAGTTTTCTTGGCCGCTAGGGGTCTCCTGTGTCTCTCTCCCCTCCCCTTCTGTCCCCCACAGGCACCAGGGGCCTCCTGTCTCTCTTTTTCCACACTCCAGCTCCTGGAGCCACCAGGAGCCTTGTGTGTGTCTCTCCTCCTGGCCACCAGGTGCATCCCCTTCTTCCCCTTTAGTGCTGCGGCCAGTGGCCAGAGGGGATGGGTTTGGGCCATGGAGTTTACTTACCTAGCCCCATGGCAGGCAAGATGGTGAAGCCCTGGCCACAGTTGGCCGCTCTCTTGGTAGTGTGGCTGCCCCCAGTGGTCTCTCTGCAGTACAGCTCTCCCCTGCGGGCTCGCTGCCTCCAGTGGCCACTCTCAGTATCATGTGCCTCCTCTCTGTGCTCTCCCCTCCCCCCCTTTCCATATTCTGGAAAACAGTCTGATTCCCAGCACTTCCAGTTTTCTTGGCACAACCAAACCCTTACCTTGCTTTAAGTTAGGAGCAGAACAAGCTACATACCAAGTTTTGGTGGTCCTAGCTCTCACCGAATAAGAGGCGTTCTTGAACAAACAGACTCTCAGACAGATGGATACAGAAGGATGCATAAATATCTCTCTCTCTCTCTCTCTCTCTCTCTTTTTTATATATATATATATATATATATGCCAAGATACCTGAGCATGCTGTGGTAGCAGAGCAGCTGCATGATTCTTTAATTTCTTCACTATGATCAGGAGTTTGGTGCAATGCTAATTAGGAATGTGAAAAGTTAACCAGTAAGCATCACCTTTATCGGGTAATGCTTACCAGTTCCAGTTAACTGTTAACCAGTGGGGGCTAGAGCAGCTCCCCAGCTACTGTGTGCAGGGACCTGCTTCGGCATGAGGGGTCTGGGAGCCCTGGAGTGACTGCTCCAGACCAGCCTTGGCAGGCAGGGTGAGCACTCCCACCTAGCAGGGTGGAATGGTGCTGCTGTCCATGTCCCCATTAGTAATCTAAACATAATGTTTAGCCAGTTAAATGGGATTTTACATCCCTAGTGCTAATTTTTGTTTTCTCTTCAAGTTTGAGGCAGTGGACACAATCTTCATTCAGAATTTGCACTTGAAATATTACTTGCTGTGTTTAATATAAAATATAATACTAGACAAACATAACTGTGAATGGAGAAGGGAACAGGAGAAGGGGACAGAAGAGAAGAGGTCTTGGGGGCATGGATGAAATCAGAACTGCACATATATACCAAAGAAGTCCCTTTATTTTTCCAAATATTCTGTTGGCCGAGGTTATTCCATTAAAGAGAGAATAATGCTTGAATTTGTCTGCAAATGTGCTCCCAAATAAAAAGACCTGCAACTGTATTTGATAGTCTCAAACATGCAAAGTTACTGTGCTTGAATTAACATGGAATGTATAAAACTATTGTTCCTGCTCATCAGGTTATTAATAATCAACAATTACTTTTTTTGCTACTGTATATTCATTTTTTTTTTTTTTTTTTTTTTTTTTTAGGATCTTTACACTAACACTATGCCGAAAGTAGAAAGAACTGTTGAACGTGGTAGAGGTAAATCCCTTATTTTTTTCTTAACTAATTGGTGAGATGCTTGATAGGGGACAATTATGATGCAAGGCTATCGTTCTATGTGCCTTCTCTTAGCTCAGATCTCCACTAAACATTGTTCAGCACATTGTATGAGTAATTAAAGGAATTTCAGATATTTCTGCTATTTGTGCGATGAGTTTCTTGGTTTTCTTTTGTGCAGCATCATAATATGTTTTTGATAATTAAAAAACATAGTCCTGTGTATATCTTAAATAGTGCAAGAATAAGGGCTGGTTTACATCAAAAACTTAAGGAATATAACTGGGTTGACATAGGGGTGTAAAAAATGAACACCTCTGAGAGACACAGTTAAGCAGACCAAAGCCGCAGTATAGACACATCTAAGTCATTCTAGCTTGTTTTTCTCAAGGGATTCGGTTAACTACAGCAACAGAAATACCTCTTCTATCTCTGTGGCAAGTGTCTACTTTATGGCACTATACAGAAATGCCTACAGCATCAATGGTGTGGACAGGTCCCCTGGGGTGGGGAACCTTTTTGTGTCAGGGGAACCGCTGATCCACATTAAAATCTGTTGGATACTGCACATAAGTGAGAAACAAAAATATGTAAAGCAAACCCTCACTGATGTGCCCCTGACTGAGAAGCAGAAAGACACTCTCAACATTTTCCTCACACACCAGAGCCTAGGAGGGCCCAGGCTAGTAGATTATGTGTGCTCCAGCCCTGCGAGGTGGTAGCGGGGGAGGGGGGGGCGGCTGGAACACCAACATGGGCTCCCCATTGGTGGTGGTGGGGGGAGCCCTGAGCTTTGTGGGCCAGATCCAGACAAGTCAGGGACCACATCCGACTGCCTTAAGTAATGGGACCATATGAAGAACATGCACAGCATGGGTTCAAGGGGCATATAGGATAATTGGCTATGCGGGGAACAAGGTGCTATCTGTTCATGGGCAGCCACATTGAAGCCAGTGCAAATCACTCTGTGACAATAGTAGAATCCACAAATAGCTTTATTTGGCCTTACCCTGTGTCATGCGAGATTAGCTGGACAAAATCTGACCTCTCTGCTCTCACTGTGAGCTTATCTGCATTTGTGGGACATGAGAGAAGAAAGAAACCACTTACATGCTAAAACTAAGTGCACTTTGGCAGTGTTCTCAAATTAATATGAGCTGTTTTGAACTCAGTAATTGAATCTGCTCATTTCTCATCTCTCTGAACTAAACTATCCTATTCTTTTGAACATCTACAAATGAAATTCTTCTTGTATTTCTAGATTACTTTCTATTTCTACTATAACTTTGAGATAGGGTGACCAAAAGAGACTTCAGTTGAGTCACTACATGGGCTTAGGGTGTCTGGTCATGCAGTGTTAGGGCCCAAGAAAGGATGAAATAGCTTTTAAACCATTCTTGATCTTGCATCTACATCAGCCTCTTTTATTTACCAGTTCGTGTACTGCCAGGTCAGGGAGATGTTCAGTTAAATTGAACAGCCACAAACATATAGAAGGAAATGCCTTTTACACACTCCCTTGCCCCAAGATTATTTTGAGACCAAAAATTCATAAAAGAATAATATATTTATATTAACTATATTCACCCTAAATAAGCTGATAAATGTTATAGATATAACATTTCTATCTTCAAAGCATAGATGAATTACTAACTGATGATGCTATAGAAATGTTCTCTAACGTCAGTTTATTCCCTAACTATACAGTTTGTGCATCTCCTGAAGCATCTTGTACAAGTCACTGTTAGAAACCAGATGTTGAAATACTGCTCTAGTCTGGTAGTTCCTATGCAACAATGAAAGCAAGTCTCAACTTTTAAATTACTTTAACTCTGAGGTCTGGTGCAGCAAGGGATTATCTAAATTTATTTATATACATTTACAAGTCAGAAGGGGAAACACCTTTTTATGTTTTATACTTTTAACAGCAAGTTAAAGTGAATGTTTGGATTTAATTTTTAAATGGAATTGTGCAAACGGAAATAAAAAAAATGCACAGTTGTCTTGCTGGTTTTGTCAGCTGATTAAAACATACGGCATAACAGATGACAAAACCACAGGAAGTTTTGTAAGCGAGAATTGCTGACAGCAAACTGCAGGAAACTCATCTAACAAGGAAAATGAAATTGTTTACTTAACCAGGTGGCAACAGGATGTAAATGTAATTGTTTTGAAAATATCAGTACTATCTCTGGAACCAATGAGAGTATAATAAGATAAAACTGAGTTATGGATTGATTCCCTCCCTCCAAAGTACATTAGTTTCTGAAAGCATTTTTTGTGCACTAATTTTAACAATTATTCTACAATACTGATGTTCTGTTAAGTGGGTGGCAGGAGGTCAAGGGAAGGGGAGCTCCTTCTGGGTTAATGAATGTCAGCAGATCATTGTATTCTAATACTAGTGTTAATTATTAGTGTGGAGCGCTTGAATAATAATACTGTCTGGAAATCTCTGTAAAACTGTATTCTGTTTTCTGAAATTGAAAAATTATTTAAATGTGCAAACAAAAGCAGTTTAAAAAAGCCAAATGCTGCTACAAACATTCTCTTTTCTAAAGGCAAAAGATAACATGTAACAGTTTGCTTGAAAATATTTGCCTCCCAGAACATTCAAGAAACATTTAATGTTGTTTCAGTTAATGTCTCCCAAACAATGAAGCAAAAGCATGCTAGTGCATCAACAAATAGTTGACACATGTCAGTAGGGAAGTTTACTGAAAATTTGCTTTTTTTTTTTTTGCCAAAAAGTATATGACAAAATAGTGTTAACAAAACTTTGTTTTGTAACACTTGGTTGTCTGTGTTAGGGTGCGTCTACACTGCACCCGCAGCTTGAAATAAGCTATGCAATTTGAGCTATGCAAATTGCATAGCTTATTTCAAGTCAATTTCGAAATAGTTTATTTCATAATTTCTCACTGTCTACACAGTGCCAAATTTTGAAATAACCCACTGTTCTGAAACGTCCCTTACTACTCATGGAACGAGGTTTACAGGGATGTTGCAATAGCAAATCCATTATATTTCGAAATAACGAGCACACTGTTAAGACGCAGGGTAGCTATCCAAAATAGCTCTGCAGTGTAGATGTAGCCTTAATGGTTCATTTTCACCATAAGGTCTTTCTATTACATTGATGCATTATGATCTGATTTCATTTTAGAAAGTTGTGAATTTCTCAAAAATCCTCCTCCGGGATTTTACCCAAGGCTTGGTGTGATTGGTTTTGCTGGAATTGTTGGACTGTTTCTTTCTAGAGGTAGGTCCTCTTTTCAAATAGCTTATTTTATGATTTTATTGGATGTTAAATAATTTAAACTAAAAATGAATGCATCTTTACCTACAATATGTGCAGTTAGATCACCGCTCAGAAGTGTATCTGGCTGCTTATTGTGCCATTTGCAATTTTTTGTTAATTGTTGTTTAATTTCTTTGGTGTTACGATTTATAGATTCTGTGGTTATAGAAAGGTGGTAAATAAGATATCAGTACAGTAGTGCTGATGGTAAATAAATGGAACAGGCGCAGGCTGGGGGTGAGAGTGTGGCTTCTGGGCACTGCAGGGAGTGGGGTGAGCCCTGAGCCTTGTGGACTGGATCAAAGCAGGTCTGGCCTGTAGGCTATAGGTTCACCATCTCTTAAAAGTTCCAACTTCAGGAGTTATGTGATTATGTAAGAATCCATTTTCATTAAAAGAAAAAAGAAAATGTGTGGCCTTTGGGGTTGTGGAGAATGTGTACCCTAAAGGCTCAAGAACTGGAAGATATATAAAAAGATCCCACAATTTTATCTTTTTAAACCTGTCTTATGATTTTGGGGTGGGTAAGATTTGAAATGGAAATTACTTTCCCACAATACAAGAATCAAAGCACTTAATTTTCATATCTGAGTTTGAAATGTCAAGAAGCTAGTTTACAATGAGTTTTAAGCTTGAAGTGTAGAATGAGACCAACAGCATGAAAATTATATCACAAATGTACATGTGGGAGAACTTTATGGTAGCTGGTAAAAGCTACTCTGTTACTCCCAATATACTCAAACAGTTCTGCTTGATCTGCCAGATTGGTTCTAATTTAGCATTACTGTTCTTTTTAGAAGCATTTACATTAATTTCATGACAGCAGTTTCTATAATTCTTGTAGAAACATTTCTTTAAAAATATGAAGTAAAGGTTTGGCTATTCCTTTGCAAGTTATTTTAATCTCCATATTAGATTTACTTGTGAGGTAATTTTCACTGAAAAGTTCTGTAAAAATTACTTCTCCAAAGAGTGAAAAATTAATGTTAGTCTAATATGATTGAAAAGTCTCAGAGGGGGCAGCTGTGTTAGTCTGTATCTTAGGAGTCCTGTGGCACCTTAGGCTAAATCTACTCTGCACACTTATTTCAAAATAGCATATCCACAATGCAAATGCCCATTGAAATAGCACTGAGCTATTTGGAAATAGAGTTTCCACACTGATTGGAGCCTGAAATGCATTTAAAGCCCTGTTAGGCCCCGGAAGCACTTCAGGCAAGGCATCAGGACAACAATCACTTCCTGGAGCTGCTTTCTGAGGCTCGTGCTTAAAGGGACCTCCTGTACAGTAGTGTCTCAGGCTCTTCACCTTTGCCTACTTCCTCAAGGGACAGCAAGGCCTTTTCACTGCCTGCTCTGATTGCCCTTGTGGACACCACAGCACTCAAGCATGGAGCCGGACCAGCCTCAAAACTGTCGCCAGCTCTTAGACTCCATGCCACACCTCCTGGTGCAGTTACTGCAAGCTGCCCTCATGGCCCTGCAGGAGTAGGACCCCCAGCTCATTTCTGGGCACTTCCTCTCCTCTCTCCGGGTAGCAGCACGACCCCCTCTGTCCTCTCCTGCACGCTGTGCACTGCTGCTTCTGGCAACGGGACACCACTTCTGACTGGTGGAGCAGCATCATCATGGAGCTGTGGGACGACCAGCAGTGACTCCAGACGACCAGCAGTGACTCCAGAACTTCCGCATACGGAAGGACACTTTCTTGGAGCTGTGCAAGTGGCTCATCCCTGCCCTCAGGTGATGGGAAACCCACATGCAACCCTCCATAAGTGGGTCACCATCGCTATTTGGAAGTTTGTCATGCTGGACAGCAATCGCTCTGTAAGAAACCAGTTCGGTGTGGGGAGATCGACCATCGGGGCGGTGCTCATACAGGTATGGCTCTCTTGTGCTATTGTCCCAGGAGGGTGGTGAACTTCTAGAATGGGATTCTCAAAGGGAGGAGGTGGGGAAGTGGTGGAAGCTCCCTCCTTGGAAGGTGCAGGGGGATGGAGCAGGTTGGGGGTTGCTGCTGGTGTGTGTGGTGGGGGGAGAGAGTTGGGCTCAGGCAACCCTGTGATTCCCTGTTTGTCTCCTTCTACAGGCGGTGAGAGCCATCAGCACCATCCTGCTGCGCTGGGTCATCATCCTGGGTGATGTGGACCTCATCATTGCCAGGTTTGCTGCCAGGGGCTTCCCCAACTGCAGAGGGGCCATTGATAGCATCCATATCCCCATCTGGGCCCCCACCACCAGACACCAGATTATATCAACCACAAGGGGTACTTTTCTGTGTTCCTGCAGGCCCTCATGAACCACCAAGGCCAGTTCACCAACATTAACATCGGGGAAGTTGCATGACGCCTGCATCTTCAGGAACTCCAGCCTCTTTCAGAAGCTAAACACTAGCACTTTTTTCCTTGACTGTTCCATCAGGGTTGGGGACGTGGACATATCCATGTGCATCGTGGTGGATGCTGCCTACCCTTTTCTCCCCCCGCTAATGAAGCCCTACACTGGAACCCCAACAAAGAACGTTTTAATGCCAGGCTTAGCAGGTCCCCAACTGCAGAGGGGCCATTGATAGCATCCATATCCCCATCTGGGCCCCCACCACCAGACACCAGATTATATCAACCACAAGGGGTACTTTTCTGTGTTCCTGCAGGCCCTCATGAACCACCAAGGCCAGTTCACCAACATTAACATCGGGGAAGTTGCATGACGCCTGCATCTTCAGGAACTCCAGCCTCTTTCAGAAGCTAAACACTAGCACTTTTTTCCTTGACTGTTCGCCTGCTTGCCTAGGTCAGGCCTGCCCCCTTCTGAGTCACACAGGGGAAGGCTGAGCCTGAGGCTAATCAGAGGCAATCAAGGGAACAATGGCAGGCTCTCAGTCCCAACTGCCACAGAAGCTGAAACTGAAACTGCTAGCACTCCCTGGAATCAGACTCAATTCACACTTCAAACTGTAAAATTCAAACAGTCAGGCACACACACACACTCACACCACAGCTTGTACTCTCACCGGGTAGCCTCTTCGGCGGTGGGGGCGCTTTGCTCTCCCTCTTCAACTCCCCTGTCTGCAGTCCCCTGTCCGCTTCGCTCCCCTGGTCGCACTGCTCTGGCTTTTTAAAGCCTGCTTGCCTAGGTCAGGCCTGCCCCCTTCTGAGTCACACAGGGGAAGGCTGAGCCTGAGGCTAATCAGAGGCAATCAAGGGAACAATGGCAGGCTCTCAGTCCCAACTGCCACAGAAGCTGAAACTGAAACTGCTAGCACTCCCTGGAATCAGACTCAATTCACACTTCAAACTGTAAAATTCAAACAGTCAGGCACACACACACACTCACACCACAGCTTGTACTCTCACCGGGTAGCCTCTTCGGCGGTGGGGGCGCTTTGCTCTCCCTCTTCAACTCCCCTGTCTGCAGTCCCCTGTCCGCTTCGCTCCCCTGGTCGCACTGCTCTGGCTTTTTAAAGCCTGCTTGCCTAGGTCAGGCCTGCCCCCTTCTGAGTCACACAGGGGAAGGCTGAGCCTGAGGCTAATCAGAGGCAATCAAGGGAACAATGGCAGGCTCTCAGTCCCAACTGCCACAGAAGCTGAAACTGAAACTGCTAGCACTCCCTGGAATCAGACTCAATTCACACTTCAAACTGTAAAATTCAAACAGTCAGGCACACACACACACTCACACCACAGCTTGTACTCTCACCGGGTAGCCTCTTCGGCGGTGGGGGCGCTTTGCTCTCCCTCTTCAACTCCCCTGTCTGCAGTCCCCTGTCCGCTTCGCTCCCCTGGTCGCACTGCTCTGGCTTTTTAAAGCCTGCTTGCCTAGGTCAGGCCTGCCCCCTTCTGAGTCACACAGGGGAAGGCTGAGCCTGAGGCTAATCAGAGGCAATCAAGGGAACAATGGCAGGCTCTCAGTCCCAACTGCCACAGAAGCTGAAACTGAAACTGCTAGCACTCCCTGGAATCAGACTCAATTCACACTTCAAACTGTAAAATTCAAACAGTCAGGCACACACACACACTCACACCACAGCTTGTACTCTCACCGGGTAGCCTCTTCGGCGGTGGGGGCGCTTTGCTCTCCCTCTTCAACTCCCCTGTCTGCAGTCCCCTGTCCGCTTCGCTCCCCTGGTCGCACTGCTCTGGCTTTTTAAAGCCTGCTTGCCTAGGTCAGGCCTGCCCCCTTCTGAGTCACACAGGGGAAGGCTGAGCCTGAGGCTAATCAGAGGCAATCAAGGGAACAATGGCAGGCTCTCAGTCCCAACTGCCACAGAAGCTGAAACTGAAACTGCTAGCACTCCCTGGAATCAGACTCAATTCACACTTCAAACTGTAAAATTCAAACAGTCAGGCACACACACACACTCACACCACAGCTTGTACTCTCACCGGGTAGCCTCTTCGGCGGTGGGGGCGCTTTGCTCTCCCTCTTCAACTCCCCTGTCTGCAGTCCCCTGTCCGCTTCGCTCCCCTGGTCGCACTGCTCTGGCTTTTTAAAGCCTGCTTGCCTAGGTCAGGCCTGCCCCCTTCTGAGTCACACAGGGGAAGGCTGAGCCTGAGGCTAATCAGAGGCAATCAAGGGAACAATGGCAGGCTCTCAGTCCCAACTGCCACAGAAGCTGAAACTGAAACTGCTAGCACTCCCTGGAATCAGACTCAATTCACACTTCAAACTGTAAAATTCAAACAGTCAGGCACACACACACACTCACACCACAGCTTGTACTCTCACCGGGTAGCCTCTTCGGCGGTGGGGGCGCTTTGCTCTCCCTCTTCAACTCCCCTGTCTGCAGTCCCCTGTCCGCTTCGCTCCCCTGGTCGCACTGCTCTGGCTTTTTAAAGCCTGCTTGCCTAGGTCAGGCCTGCCCCCTTCTGAGTCACACAGGGGAAGGCTGAGCCTGAGGCTAATCAGAGGCAATCAAGGGAACAATGGCAGGCTCTCAGTCCCAACTGCCACAGAAGCTG